CCCTGCCCCCCCCCCCAACCGACTGACCCATCACGACACCCCCAACAGTGTGTCTGCTGCAGCTGGCTGCGGGAGAAAGAACCTTCATCGTGGACATGTTGCACGTGTGCCGCCCGAAGAGCGCCGCTGTTGCGACCACAGCCGAAGAGGAAACGGCTTCGGGTTTGACGAAGAGGGAGGCCTTGCTCGAGGAGGCCCTGGGGGCCGTGCTTGGCTCGCCGGGGGTGGTTAAGGTTGGGCTCGGCCCTAAGGTGGGTGGGATCTCTCTGTTCGCGACTCTGTCTCATTTCCACGCGTGACATATCCTTTTCCGTCGGAAGGTGGTCTTGCGCGAAAGAAAAGAGCCAATGCTCATCTTGTTTGCATTTTTTTTCTGGAGACGAATGCAGGTTGATTGGTTTACTCTTGTTGTTTTTGTACTCGGTTTCTTTTTGTTTTCTCCCGTTTTTGTCGACAGCGTCTGGCCCAGGCTACACAGATAGTAGCGTTTCATGGCGTTACCGATGCCCTGGTGCCTACTCGGAGAGGGTTGCTTAGCCGATTGCCTGTCCCGTGTTTTATGGTTCCTCTCCTCGCTTCTTAGGCCGAGAGACCCCGCGCGCACTCGTCCGCGTGTTGATGTGTACTGCCTGCCGTCGAAGCGACACCTTGTTCCTTGAGCCAACACATTTTGCTTCCCTCTGATCTAGCCACAAACACCCGCACTCCTTGCTCGCGATGGGAAAAAATCCCTATAAGAGCGAGGATGTGCCTGTGAGAGTACCGAGATCAATGCGTGCCCTGTGCGACACTCACCATCTACTTTGTACCACGTGTTCTCCCTTTCTTCAGCATGGGTGTTTGACGCTTGCATCAAATATCGTCGCCTCAACTGTTTGCCGCCGTGAAACCTGAAACCCCTGAATGCTGCTGCTTCTGCCTCCACGCGCGAAGGCGGACTTCCAGAGCCTGATACGTTCTTATCCGCACATGCCCTGCTTCCGGAGAGTGTGCGGAGTGGTCAACCTGTGCCACGTGGCCAGCAACGCCTCCTCACTCCGCGGAAAACCGGCGGACGAGAAGGCTTCCCTCAGTCGCTTGTGCAACGTCGTCCTCGGTGAGTCGTCGTCTGGCTATGCGTTGTTCGCATCTCGCGACGGGATGGTTTTTGGGCACAGGTTTGTTTTTCGCATCGGTGCTGACTCTTGTGTGGAACTCGTCCGCCCTATGTAACTACTCGTGGGTCCGAGTAGGTCTTGACACAAACTGCGAGATATTTGTGTAAGCGCCTCACGTCCCAGGGAGAGCTACGCCTGAACGACACAGGATCATTTGGTCAAAGGCAGTAGCTTGGCGGTTATACTCTGAGGAACACTTCCTCCCACGCCCCGTCCCCCTGTCGGTTCTTTCCTTTGCTCTGCATTGCCACCTTTCAACGTGCGGTGCCCTCGTCAATTTACTTCTACGCGAGATACTAAGTAAGTCTACAGATACTTGAAATAATGGTACGCGTTACGGCCAGCCACCCTCTGCACGGTGGTGGTGGCCTTCTCGTACATTTCCTGTGGCGCCCCGTGTTCTTGATCTTTGTGCGCCCATATCCACATGCGTCGACTTAGTAGTCTGAGGCTCATTCAAATAAATGTCCGGGCGATTCTCGTTGCCGCGCGTTTCGTTGCGCCGCATCATCTTTTGTCAACGCCGCAGGCAAGCCCTTGGACAAGAGTGAACAATGTTCTGACTGGGGCAGCAGGCCCCTGTCCGGCAGGCAGAAGCGGTACGCTGCGCTGGACGCACGGGCAACTCTTCTCTTACATCGCGAACTTGCACCGGAGGTAAGCCAATACCGCCGCATTCACTCCTGACTCGTGGCACTACGTTATTGTACTAAGTACTTTGCTGACAGACGTAGTTCGCCCAGCAACTAACGTAGATGCCCTCCTGTGGCCTTGGAGCTTCTGCACAGGCCTAATTCACTCATGGCGTTGTATGGATGTACTTTGCAGCCGTGGAGCATCTGCACACAACTACCTTGCACACAACTACCATCAGGTAGTTGCACCACATTTGTGTGCCTCTGTACCCTGCCGCTCCTCGGTGTGGCGTCTTCAGAGTGAAGTGTTTCCAATGACAGCAAGTCTTTATTCCAAGCCTTCTCCCGCTCTCAAGCCATGTTGTTGGACTACTCCTTCCCAGCCGTGGCCCCCCGGTATTTTGCCATCGGGGTTGGGTTTTCGTCGCTTGGCAACGACGTTGTAAAACAAGCCGCCCCCCTCGGTGTTTGCCATCGGGATTGGGTTTTCGTCGCTTGGCAAAGACGTTGTAAAACAAGCCAATTCACTTCGTGAACTCGGCAACCAGGTTACCGTTTTTTTTTTTTACCTCCGTTTTTTTTTTTTGGCGGTAACCATAATGGTGGTCGAGTACATCATATTGTGA